GCACCGCAGGCCTGAGCTGGTGGCGGGCCCTGCGGGTGGGGTCGCAAAGTTTCTGCCTGGGAAGGCGCGGCGAAATCGGACGCGGAGGGTTTCGGGGAGAGACCGAGGCCATCAGCCGCTGGGACGGCGCCTTGGCGAGCAGCGTGTTCGTGGTGCAGGAAGGCGCCGCCTCCACCGCTGCTGAACACGCAGTGGAAACGCAGGTGTGCCTTAAGGCTGTTGGGGTATCTAAACGTCCTCCAGCAGTACCAGCAGATGTAGCGCTCCTCCCCTGGGCAAGAAAGAATGGAAAAGCGACCCGGTGAGAGGCGAACAAGCGAGACAGAAAGAAAGCGCCAGTGCACCCAAGGCAAAGGCCAAGTTTTGACCAGCGGTATCGGGAGAGGGCGAAATGTAAGTTCGGTAGCCCTACGGTATCAAGGACTCCGAAAAACCTCAAATGGCCAATCCTTATCAGTGTCTCCATCCTCTGGGACTACTTAGAGGCCAAAAAAGGTGACGGGACCTTTCCAACGAAGACTTCCTCCAGGCCTTCCAAGCAAAATCTTCGTTGGAAGGGCAGCACTCAGGCAGGCTGGCCGGGTAAGAGCAAAGAGCAGCTGTTGCTTTAAATCAAGTGTTGAGGCTGTGCAGTGTCTGGGCCCATCTGTTGGCGTTTGCAGAATAGGTAGCGTATGTCAAGGAGTTTGGATAAACTGAACAAAGACCAATCTAATGGTCGTGAGCGCCTCATTACCAGGCGAGACAATATCCTGTATGTATAGGCCATATGTAATCATTCCTTTTCATAGAACAATGTCTTTTGTGTCCCCTACCCACCCATTCCACCCCCTTCCAGCCTTAAACACTTTGCCTGAGGTTTTCCTGGAGCGTGACCAACTGAAGGACCACATAGGGACTATGATTTGCCATTCTTCAAAATTATTTGTATCTTTATTTCCTCTTTAACCCCATTTAATTTGCTGGGAGAAAAGAAAAAAATCTTATGCCATGATACTCTATAAAGAATGATGGTAATCTAAGAAGGATGATGTTGCATTGTCTTGTCTGCCACTTGGTAATTAATTAACTCCTAGATAGCTGCACAAATCCAAGCTTAGTAAAGTCTTTGGAGAAAATATATTAGTTTTTTATTATATGAATATATATAAATGATATAGATCGATAAATAAATATAGATACTCAGCTTTTAATAAGTGCAGAATTCTCTACCAGGCACTACATATGTGTTTGGTGTCAAATCTTTTTTTGTGTTTAGTATTATTAGCATTAGTTTTTTCATTTCGCCCGAGTTTGTGAACACAGCCAAGAGACACATATATGATCACATACTAGAAGTTAATTTCCACTTAAAAGGGTCGTATTACTGCTGTAGAGAGAAATGATCTTGCAGTTGGGTTTCTTTTAAAACGTGGTTGATTGATAATACTGAAGGGAAAGATGTCTGTGAGAAAGAAGTTAGTTGAACCGCAAGGAAATATCCAAAATATAAATCAGTCTCATAAAATTTAACAGGAAAGTTAAATTCCCCCTCTGCATATACAAGCAGCTCAAACTTCTGAAATATTACTACAGAAATAACAATAGGGAAAAAGTCCAGATCTTCTTCCCTTTATGTATATTAACTTCTGGGTTTGCATAACACAAGTAGCTCCCACCCCCACCCCTGTGAAACACCTGTGAAAACTCAAGTGATAAGCACTATATTCCAAGGAGAGCAGAAAGAAAAATGGGAGAGTAGTATTTCCCTATGAGACCCTATCCTAATTGTTTATAGAAGTCTTAGATAAAACCATTTCAATGTTCTGTTACTTTGTACTGAACATTCATGTAAAAGAAATCTTGAAAAAAAGAAAGAATAGACCTCCTGGGTTCTCTTGGTGGGTATGTTGTCTTAAATAACCTTCCTTCTAACTTCAGAGCCTTTCTGTCTCTCATCACACCTTTTGAAAGAGGGAGTTTTCCGAATCTGCCGCAGAATGACTCAGCTTAATGCAAAGCCACATACACTTTTTTTCTTAACATGAAGGGGCAGTATTTTCCTCCACCTTACTACGAAATTGAAACCCACTGAAGTTAGCTAGAATTAGGAGAATAGCAGCCATCCGTATTTATTTCTTCCTCTTTCCAAGCTTTAAGCAGCATACATTTAATATGTACTTTTTTTCAGTTATCCTAACCAACTGACATGTTCTCCAGACTCTCAGATCCAAATCATGCCAAGAGTACCAAACACATTTAACAAGTGACTGCCTCCTCTTCATGTAACTCTAAGGTAGTCAAGAGTTCAGACTTCTCCAAGCTGGGGAAGTCAGGGTTCAAAATCACCCATGCCTTCTCACCTCCAGAAAAAAAAAAAAAAAAAAAAGGTGTTTATTTTGACATCTGTTACCATATGATGTTTATAAGCTCAATTGGCTGAAAGGAAAACACAAGGACCACTATTCCAGTCGCTTTTGTACTATTTGGAACTACCTAAGAAAGGGTGTTCTGTGTAGAAATGGCTGGCTCCTCAAGGTTAGTGGTCCTCCAAATTCTGTAGTGGCAGATTCGAGAGTTCTCCACTATGCGGCTTTTATTATACGTCTCTTTTTACTGGAAGAAGTTGACAAGAGAATGTAATATAATGTGATGCAAGGAACAAACTATCTTAGGATAATTTGAATACTATACATGCAAAATAAACAAGTAACTTGCAGGAGACGATGATACTTTAAAGTAAAGTGACTCATTGTTTTGAATAAACTTCATTCTGTCTTATTCATGAAGTGTTTCCTAATTCACATACTTGTATTAATTTCTCTAAACCTATTTCTAAAGGGATGTGATTGAGCAGGCAATCCAGGAAGACAGCATGTTCGAATATTTCACAGCATTCATTATTTTGATGTTAAATAATAAATGTGTCTTTAATAGAAATTACAGACCATTGTCATGGAAAAAAAGCCATGGTAGCTTTGTATGTGAAAAGGAAGTCTCCAAGACCTTAACTATTCTAGCACCTCCTCGACTTCTTTCCACAGGAAGTGTTCTTCAGTGTTCAAGGGTAGGTTTAAAAATGTTTTTCTGTTTAGTTACTGCACCTTAATTTGCATAAATCCGCTCTTGGCTTTGAAGGGATCAAATAAATCTGAGAAGAAACTGGGATACATCCCAGATTCAATTTAAGTAGGCAAAGGGAAATGAATAAATGCCACTTAAATGGAAGGGTCTCAGTACCTGCCAACTGACCAGCTGTAAGTACCGTAATACTTCTAAAATGCTGTAGAAATGCACTGTTCTCCTGGAAAGCCAGTGGAGAAGAAATGTCCTTGGACTTTGAAAAGCATTCCAGGTTTGAGTTATATTCTGTGGAACTCAGGATGTAATTGCTGTAACAACAATTTAAGGCTCCTTTTTTATTATTTATTTATTTATTTATTTATTTATTTTTTGAGACAGGGTCTCACTTGTCACCCAGGCTGGCATACAGTGGTAACATTACAGCTCACTGGAGCCTTGACCTCCTGGGCTCAAGTGATCCTCTTTTCTTAGCATCCTGAGTAGCTAAGACTACAGGCATGTACCACCACACCTGGCTAATTATTTTTTTGGTGTAGAGACAGAGGTCTCACTATGTTGCCCAGGCTGGTCTCAAGCTCCTAGCCTCAAGTGATCCTCCTACCTCAGCCTCCCAAAGTCTAGGATTACAGGCATGAACTACTGCGCCTAATTTTTTTATCTTAATTGAGTAAATAATGGTCTCTTTGAATAGGCATCAGAAAAAGGATGGCCCCATTAAGTTCATAATGCGTACTTTTCCCCCTGCCATTGTGAGCCAGATTACTATCACTGTTATCGTTTATGGTTGATTTTAAGGAGGTAGTGGCGACCTCTCCTCTTTGCCTTGAAATACAGGGAATGTGAATTCCATTTTACACTGGTCGAGCTATGTCTAGTGACTCGCTTCAAGACAGGAGGAGGAGGGCTGGACTCTTGCCCATCCACGCTTTTGGAGTGGGTACCTTTCTCATCGTGAGTCGGAGTCGCCGTGGTGGGGATGTCGAACCACTGAGCCAAGGAGTTAGAATACCACACTGTCAGCTCCTCCCCTGGCTGGACGTCTCGCAATGCTCGGTAGAAGATCTGGGACGCAAGGAATGGAACAGTTCTCTGTCATTTCCTGGGTAATTGGTCAAAAAGCAACTGAGAAGAAAGGTTCAAATCCCGATTCTGATGTTGTGTGACCCTGGAGAAGCTACTGGAGCTCTCTGAACTTCACTTCCCTCACCCTTCAAATGGAAAAACAATAGTATCTACCTTATAGGGTTGTCAAGACATTTAAATGAGACGTCTAGCTAAAACACTTTGCTCTTAATATTGTTGGCCACCGCAGGGATGGTTAGGTAGATTGAATTGGTGGTGGGGACTAGGGGATGTGGAGAGAAGCCCGCAGTACCTGTCCTCCGGGTAAGTCTGCAATAGCTTCCAGAGTCTGTTCCTGGGAGTTTCTGGCTGCCCGGATTAACCCTATCCACTCCAGAGGGGAGCCCCCCGACTCGTCCACCAGCTCCCCTCTCACCATGCGCACCTGCAACACAAGCAGTGGTCGTTCTCCCCGCACCTTGGCCAGGCCCACAACCCAGACAGAAAGTTTATCCTCCACCCCCACCCAACACAGGAAAGTGGTTGTTTTTGGTTTGGCCAGACCACTAGGGGCTACTGGAAGGAGGAGAATTCCTTAGGACCTTGCTTGGGGGAGGGAGAAAGAGGAAAGTCTACCTATGCTAACAGTACCACCACTTTCCTGCGCCCCACCTTGGCAACACGGGGAGGGGGGAGGGATGTTGAGAACATCCTCCCTTAGTGCTTAAGCACATCTTGTACCAAGTTGTTCCCCACACACTACCCCAGCTCTCCCACTGGCAGTTCTGAGAGCAGCCCTAACACCAGGTTAGAGACGTTTCTAGGTCAGTCCCAGGACCCAGAGCGTCCCCCTACAAACAAACAAACAAAAAAATTATCTCATACCTCCTCTATTCTGTGTGCATCGCACCTAGGTGCCTGTGAGCCTTGCAGCGAAAGTCTCAGAACAAAGCCCAAGCGGGGAAAAGCTTGCCCGCAGCTGGCAGGCCATTTAAAAGCAATTAAAAAGCGTTTAAAGAGGAATGCGCGGTGGGCACCAAACCCTGCTTTAGACTATAGTGGGGCGGAGAGGGGGGCGTGATTGCAGGAGGAGCGAGGTACAAGTCCCGCTGGCTGGACACCGGAGCTTTTTCTTACTAGAAATCTCCAAGCAAAGCAAGCTATAAAGCCAAGGAAGCCAAAGCCCTTCCTTCTACCCCTGACTTCTGCCTTCATTTCCTGGTCGCTGTTTGCCGACCTTTGGCTCCTGGGACACCCCCAAAGCGGGCGAGTGCTTTAAGTCTTCCTGGTCAGGGGTCGCAACGGTGTGTGGGGTGTGGGAGTCAAAGCTAGTGGTTTGGCCCTGGCGCCTGCCGGTTAGGACTCTGAACTCTCAGAGCCCCGCTGTAGGCGCTCTGATCCTGTGTCCCGCGCGGATGGGCGCCCCTCACCCTTGGAGCCCGCGTCAGAGCCAGCACCTTGCTCATCCTCTCTCCATATGCCCCAAACCCACAAGCCGACATCGGCAAGGGAAAAAAATATATATCTGAGGAGATTCTGGGAACTGAGAGCCTCCCAAAGATTTTTTTTGTTTAGGGAAAAAAAAAGTAAATTATTTTAAGGCGAAATTAGGCCTCAAATTAACATATTGAAGGGCAGAAGGGAAGAAAGGTTCTCGATGCCCTACACCCCCAGAAAGAGGGTGCTTTTGCAGAGAGAGCTGAGGTCAGGGTGCGGGGGTGGGCTTCTGGGTTCTGAGGAGACCCGAGAGCGCGGGGGAAAACACAAGCCGCGAATGGTCCCGGCACCTACAGCCCTCAGTGCACCCCACCCAGGGCTGTCCCCTCTCGGCCACATCCTCTCCTCTCAACCCGACCCGTCCAGCTCTCACAGTTAAAGAGGCTACTTGCTCAGAATAACAGGAGTCCCCTTCCACCTGGCAGAATTAGCAGGTAACGACTCAATCACTCCCTTCCTCCACTTTCTCTCTCTAGCCCTTTCCCGGGTCAGGGCACTGAGAGGCGAACAGCAGTGGGCGGAGGTCTGAATGGTCAATACCTTTTTCTTGGGCCCGGGCTCCCTGCGGTCTGACAGGTACTTGCCCAGCTTGAAGGTACCAGGCACCGGTCCGAGGCGCAAGCCGGCCGGGATGCAGCAGTCGGCACTCACGCTGGTGGCTGGAGCTCTGGCGGCTCCGTGCATTGTTGCCGCCGCCCCCAGGCAGGCGCTCGAGTGCGCCAGGTCCTCGGAAGGGCGCGAGTGACAGAGCTGGAGCTGCGCGCTAGCCAGGGAGCCGCGCCCCGACGTGCGTCCTCCGCCCGCGGAGTGACGCGGGCGGGCATGCACTGCGCCTTTTCAATTGGGGCGGGAGCCTTTTGGCACCGCCAGCGCAAGGGCGCGTAGTTTGGTGAGAGAGTTGCGCTGCGAAGCAGCTGCAGAGTCCTACCCGAGAGGGTCACATGGAGTGGTTCCCTCAGCCCCCTGCATAATCGAGGCCTCTGAATGGCTAGCACACAATGGTCCAGGCGACCTTCCCATTCCTAAAAATCCAATTTGTCAAGGGCGAAGAAAAGGCACTGGTGAATCAAAGGTCCGGCGGGACCATTAATCCTCAGCATGGGGTATTGTCCTCGAGACAGTTACGATATTTTAAGTGACAAATCCACTGTATAATTTCTCCATAAATTTTACTTCCTTTTATTGTTCCCCGACAAACCAGTTTTGGGAAATAAGTGACTACTTTAAGTCTACTTGGCTGATTCCTTTGAGCCTTGGTCTACTTCAAAGATTTTTAATTCTCTCCCCTTGGCTTTATTGTAAAGGAGATTAAACAAAGAGATGGAGACTGTTTGGAGGACTTGTTAACTTCTATTGATTTCTGGCGTGTGCCATACAGAAATTAGGCAGGTACTTGATGGGAAAACACCAGAAAATACCTACACTTTTTAAATAACGACCATTTTACCATTTCAGGGGATTGGGTTCAGGCCAGTCGTCTATTTAGAACTGCTTTAATTGTCACTTCTGTCCCATTTCGTCCCAAAATATGATGAAGCCTCCAGATCAAGTTGAGAAGGCGAGGTCAACTGTGCATCACTTTTCTCGGGCACACCCCGGGCCTGCACTTTCTCTGGAGAATGGGAAACGACCCCAGAACCAACAGTTTCGACCGGGGATCCTGCCCCCCGGTCCGCGGCCCAGGGTTGAAGAGGAAGAAGTTCTAACAGTGGGTTATTGATCACGTCCCCTGGAAGAGGTCCTTGGACTAACTCCCCTGAAACCAACAACCTGGACTTTTCTATTAAAAAATAATAATAAAATAAACAAAAACGAAATCACCGCAATCTGCTAAAGAGAAGATTTGTAGAGAAGGGGGGCGAGGTGGGCGTTTCGGACAACTCTTTCTTACACCTACTTTGTGAACTAACAAGACGTTGTACTTCAGAGTTAAACCGGAGAGCTCCCCGTTTTCTTTTAGGGAAGCCTCCAATTAGCGTGCGGACATTTATTTTCATAAATAGTAGCCGAGTAATCAAATTCATCAGATATTTGTGACTCCTGCCGGCACCTGCCGCGTGCTGCTAGCTATGGGCACAGCACCCCCAATCCTATGCAGCCAGCACCGAGCCCGATGCAGTTCTTCCAAGAGAGGCCTGAGTGGTGGTGTATTTCCAAGCCTAGCGCCAGAGGCCCAGCCACTGCACAAAAGGGCGGAGGGCCCTCAGCAGCGCCCACGCTGCTAGCTTCTCCAGGCTTTGTGGGCTGAAGGTGCTGGAGCGATTGTGGTTAGCAAGGGTGGCAGGACGCAAGGTGGCGACACCTGCAACTCACCAGTTTATCTGAGGAGGTCTTCAGAGAAGCTCCGTGTAGTGCCCCTCAGTCGAAACCTATGTTCGCCACACTGGGCAGGTCCAGGACACTCAGGATCATTCATTCTGTGCTCTCCCACTCAAGACTCGGGGAACCTTTAGTGGATTGCTTCGGAGGTTCGGCCTCCTAGTCTGTAAAATGGGAATGATGGATACAAACAGACCCTTTGCTCCCTCTCCGCGGTTCACTTTCATTTGTAACAACAATCTGTAGAGTGAGTGCATTCTGGAAGCTCCAAAACTGGTTGTTTGCCTAATGGGAGAATCCAGGTCAGGCCAAAGGTTTCAAGTCTAACGTCTCACGTCAAACCCTGAGAGGACACACGGATGGCTGGCCTCGGGCCAACTCCAGGGCCTGTGTATACATGGCTGCTGAGGCAGAGAAGAGTCGCTTGGAAAGTCTGGAGGGCCACACACTGTGGCCTCTGGGACCGTGCAGCCACACTATGCCCAGGTCACTTTCTGAGGGAGCTGCCACTGATTTTTCCTCGGAAGCCTCCAATTGCGCCTCTGAGGGCTGCGAAGACTGCCCTCGAAGGAGAAGAGGGAGCCTTTGATCCAGCGGCCCATGAACTGTCTCTTATACACATCTAGATGTGTATAAGAGACAGATTTAAGCCATGAACATGTCCCTCTAACCTCTGGCCTGGCGACTCCGGGATGACACCCAGTTTAAATTACCAGCACTGCAAACGGGAAGGGGCGAGCGCTGGGCCTGGGTTCGGGGCGCCTCCCCGGCCCTCCTTAATGAGTGAAAAAGCGTGAACGACACGCGAACAATTTTATCAATAGGACCATGTAAAGGCCGACTGTGAGGAAAGTTATTTATTAATATAGCCAATTGTGACTGGTTCCCAGCCCCGCGAGAAGAAAGAGACTGCGCCAGAGGCATTCACACCAGCTCGCCGAGTTTTATTCTGTCCTGTGGCTCAGAGTTGAAGTTCCCCAAGTGAAATAAATTGTCCACAAAGGAGAAAAGGAACACATTTTCTTTTATTTTTCCTCCCCTAAAAAGCAAGGGTGAAACCAATCTAATGTGCCCAGTGGAGCAAGATGGGCCGTGAAAGGCTGGGTGTTAAAAGTAAAAGCGGGCTGTGCAGCAAATGGGATGGAAAATTAAATGAAATTAAATAGCTTGAACGGCCGTATTGTCCCTTATTAAAAAGACACATTAATTACATGGTCTCAGCCTTATTCAAAGACAATGTTGAGACTCAATCAAAACATTCCACTCGGCTTTTTTTTTTTTTTCCTTATCGACTTGAAATGGGCGTCCAGAGGCCCCGTTAAAGCGAAATCCCTCCTACACCGAGGTGCGGGGAAAGGCGGTTTAGGGGCGGTCCTGCTCCCTGCCCACTGTGGAAACCGCTCGGGCAAGGCTCCCGCTCCGGTAACAGGTTGCCATAACAAGGCTGGAATGCTCACCAGCAGCCGCCGGCCCTCCGAGGGACAGGCTGCGGAGAGCTAAGTCCCACCCGCGCGCGGCTTTCGGACCCGGCAGTGATAGCGGACTGCCCCGCCCGGTGCATAGTCGCGAATGAGCGAAGAGCTGGGAATGCGGCCGGCGCCGAGCACGTGTGACCTGACTGGACTCCGCCTAGAGGAAAGGAGCGCCTTAAGACTTTGGCGCTGAGACAAGTGGCTTCTTTCAGACCACACTTCTCCTGCGCTGCTCGTCACCGTTGCTCAAAGGCTTTGAGTTTCAGGTCCCCACGGGGACCGAGTGAGCTGTCCTGAGGGGTGGCGGGGGTGGAGAGGGCTGAGTCTTGGAGACCCTGGTGCTGGTGACTCACCAAACACCCCTCCCTCCCAGGTCGGCGCGGAATCCCAAAACTGAGCCCGGAGGAGTCCTGAACCCGGGGATGCAGAGAGCCGCTCGGGGTCAGCGACCCGAGACGAAGGAGGTTGGGGAAAGCAGAGAGAGGCCTGCAAGCCCCGCTTTCAGTAGCCGAATGTTGGCCGGAGGTGGCCTAGGCTGCACCCCCCGAGGGTGTCCGCGCGGGCCGGGCGGGCGGGTCAGCTCGGACCAGCTGCGCGGCCCCCGAGGCGCGGGTGGGACATTAAGGCCGGATCTGAATAGGGAGGCGGCGATGGGCTCTGGGAACGCCACCAGATGACACGCCGGCGATGAGGCCATTTTCCCCTTAATTGCGTGGCCGGTGGATGCGCGGCGGCCGGGAGTCTCCAAAGTGGCAGCCAGGACGCAGCCCGGACGCCGCTGGTGGGTTTTGTGGTGCCTTTTTTGTTGTTTTTTAAGTCCTCCGTTGGAAACGGCTCAATAAAAGTATTCAGAATCCCTCTCAAGTTGCCTTTTAACCGGAGTTCTCCAACTTATTTCTTGGTTCTTTCGGTTGACATGGTGCAAAGAAAAGTCAGCGAGCGTGTTTCTGAATTGCAATGTCTCGGGGCACCTCCACATTCAGCGCTTCTCTGCCGGCCGCTGCCGAATGAGCCCGCACTCAATTCGATTTTCCTTGCTGTTGGGCACATTTAGGAGCGCCTCTATTTGTGAAGTTCATTTCTAGGCAAATGTATTCAAGAGCTGATGGGAATGAATAGGACCGTGTGTCAGCCGCCCCTAATTGGGATTAAAGCACTTAGGAGCATATGCAGAGAGTGACAGAAATTCTCAGGTTGCATTGTGTTCAGACTTCCACCCGCTCGGACGCTCCTCCTCCAGGGGAGATTTATAGAGATTTCTCGGAGAAACTGAGGAAAGAAAAGCGAAAAGGGAAACAACCGGGCTAATGGCTCACGATGGGGCTGCGGTTCCGCAAGTGGTGGTGACAGCTTCTGAGAAAAGATGCTGGGGAATAATTGAACGCGGGCGGGGGAGCAGGTCTGAACTCTTTAATCAGAAAGGCGGAGAGTTAAAAGGCGAAATAAAGATGTTCTGGAGATTCCCAGACGGTGTTTCCCCCTTTTCTTCTTCTTCTTCTTCTTTTTTTTTTTTTTTCTTTTCCTTAAAGAGCCGGGATACATTTCTTTTTATCTCTACCCTCCCACACCCACCCTAAATAACATACCCTCTCTTGGAGCAATAATAAGAACAATTTGGTACTCGAATTAGAGAGGGGAAAAGTCACAAAAGAAACAAAAATATCTCTCTTTTTTTGTATGTTGAAGACTTCACACCCAAATAAATCAATAAAAGTATTTTGACATATGAATGTGTGTGTAAAGTATACACATGCTATGTTAAATACGATCATAATATGTATTTATATAATTAAGGCTGTGTGTAGATATATAGTGTGGTAAATCTCCACCTGGAAGTAGCTGCTAGGTTTCTGAGCTGAATTGACAAAGCTTCCCCCAACTTCCTGCTCTGTC